ACTAAGGCCTCAATCTTGCAAATATTTTACAGTTTGGGGTATTGGAACAATTCCAGTGAGTAAATAGTTGAAGTCAATAAGACTACTCTGGTGATGAGTAAAGCTACATATTGCTTAAGTGTTTGCTGGAGCAGGGCCTAACAGAATATATAGAGGAAACAATGAAACTGACTATACACAAAGCTCTGTCAAATACACAACTGAAATAAAGAGAGGGACTATTTTTCTCTAATGTCCTTCCTTTAGTTCAGGGGTCGGCAACCTGCGGCATGCATGCCAAAGGCAGATTTTTAGTGGCACACTGCTGCCATCTGGGGTCCTGGCTGCTGGCCACGCTCAGCGCGCTGCTGGCCTGGATTACGGAACCCCAGACCAGCAGCACGATGAGCCGCTCAGCCTGCTGCCGGTCTGGGGTTCCGGCTGCCGGCCCCGCTCAGCCCACTGCCGGCCTGGATGGACAGAACCCGGGCCAGCAGCAGGCTGAGTGGGGCCGGCAGCTGGGACCCTGGCTGGCAGGGGCCAGCGGACAGAACCCCAGTCTGGCACGCGAAACTTAAATTAATGAAGACTTGCCACACCACTTCTCAAAGGTTGCCGACCTCTGCTTTAGTTATAGGAATCTTAGGTGTCAGTTGTAACAATGGTAGGTTAAAAAATAAAATCCAATCAGAAAGCAGTGTAATTTTTTAGGCTCAGACAACACCAGCCACATCTTCCCTTGTTGCTGCTTTGTGGATGCTTTAAATTACATCCACGGCTTCCTAGGAACCTCACTGGGAAAAGCTGCTGTGGGGATGGGCTGAATCAGTGCATCTTGGCTGGCCTCTATGACCCGTCCCTGCCCAGCACCACTCACTGGGGGAAGTGGAGCTGCTTTATCAAAAAACTGCCCCTTAGAGGATTCTTTGCTGGTGGAGCCCCTGAATGAATTTAGCCCTGTAGTTTCACCTCTTCTCTTACACCTCTTTTTGTACCCAGATATGAATTCTTTCCTTCTTTTTCCTGGGGTGACCCTCCCATGGCTGTCTGTATGACAGGAGCATGGAATGTGGCCCCAGATTTACTTAGTAAGAAGGTGCCATTTTTACATAGTATACGTTCCGACTGTAACCACAGTTTCCAAGCATCTATTTTTGGCATTGCTACATTTTAACCACAGCTTTGGGTACTTTTTGGAAGGGAGGTAGGGCCATTCCCCACAGCTATTCCCCAATTTAACAGGTCACTCTCATGTTAGACCCAGATTTCCTGCTATGCCACACAAGACCTCGTTTTCAGTACTGTGCAACATAGTGACATAGAGAATCCTGAGCCTGGATATTGCAGCCACTAAAGACCTTATGTTTAAAGAAATAGCACCACCTATTATTTCATGTTATACTGCAGCCGTTTTTCTCATGTTCCTCATTCTGGGTGTGTATCATACATTGTAAAGGCCTACGTTATTATTGCTGATTTGGGTAGTGTCAGGCTAGGCTATAAGGGGAGAGTGTGTTTATGTACTTGGCCCTTACGTGTTGATTTATGTTTTCAAAGCACTATGCAAACATAAACAAATTAGTCAGGGGTCCATTGCATTATATTTGCGACATAACATGATGCCTACAAACCATTTGAAATTATAATAAATTCAATTGAGCATATTTTAATATCATACACAAGCATCTTACCTGAGTCCTTGAAGCTAATTATCAAGTAGTAGCACATGAAAGCAGAGAGGGGATGAATACTACCAGTAGGCATTTTAGGTCTGTGTGTCCATATTCAGTGTTACTATTACATTAAAGGATTATTTTGAATCGCTCTTAAAGATGTCCAAAGGGGGGGATTAATGTGTTGGAAATCCTACAGCACAACTGGAAAAGCTTTCCAGAATTATACATTTCCATGGGCTCTACTCCTACACTGCCAGATTTATTGCCCTCAAACAGGAAAAAGTGAATTTCAAATAGAAGCTGAGGCAGCCGTAGGGGCTGGGTTCTAGTTGTAATGAACAGTGTCAAACTACCTTAGAGTGATTCTGCAACAGTAGGAGCAAGGGCTATTGATTGGCATGAGTAGCACAGAGGCAGATTAGGGGTTTGTGGGCCAGAGCAAGTGGCCCCAACTCCACTCCCCAGCAGGAGTGCCAGATAGGGGGAGCGGGTTGGGGGGCGGGGCACCCATTTTTCCAGGGCCCCCCCAATTGTCTGGGGCCCTTGGGCAGAAACCCAGTGGCTAATCTGCCACTGCATAAAGCAGCTCTTTCTGGTAGATAGAAGTTGGTTCCTAACCCTGATTTTGCTAGTAGGTGCTCTGGTATATAATGAGCTAAAAAGAGGAGAAACAAGAGATTTCATTGGGCTGGCATGCTTATTGCTGAAATGAAGACAGTTTTATATGCAGCTGTGGTGGAAGCCATTTTCAGAGAGCTTTAAGCTTCAGTTAAATCCTTTGTAGCCTAGAACTTTGCCATCCCCAAATTGCAACAGAGTTCCTGCATCCTATCAGCCAGTACAACACCCCCAGGCTTCAAAAGGTAAAATTACCTAGGCCTAGGATTCCCAAAAAGAGGACACTGCTGGGGAGTGGGAGGGAGAGCTGGTGGGGATATTGGGGGGGGGGATGCTGGAGGGGTGTGTGTGTACTGG